ATAAATATACGTAAATATACATAAACTCTAATTGTAAGATGTATAATATATAAAATGTGTCTCACCATCACACATAAAGGAAAAAAATAGACGACGATTATCCAACTGCTGAGCAAGGTTTCAACCCGTACACGCCAGCAAGCTAGCCAGTCCACGTTCGTTCAAAGGCTTGCCGATTAAATCTTACCCAGCTTAATATTATTATTTTACTTACTGCATGCAAGAACATAAGAAAGACAGGTAAGATAGAAAGAGAAAAAGAAAGGAAGAAAGAAAGAAAGAAAGAAAGAAAGAGCGATACATGAATCGGAAAAGGGGTATAGAAAAATTTGCTAAGCCTCATCTATCTTTATCTAGTAGTACGACTACTTTTGCATTTGATGCAATTATCTCAACATCTGACTACATTCGATTAGAATAAAAAGAAAATATTTCAATGAAAGAAGGAATAAAATTAAAAAAAAAAAATACTACGTAAGATATTGCGTACCCTAATTATTAAATTTATATCCCAGTAATTATAGTAATGGTCTAAGTACAACAATTGAAAACATTTATTTTACAAACTTGTATTATAATAAAAATCATTCTAATTGATAAATATATTAATGTGTAACTCTCATTTAAGTCGCAAATAAATCATTTACTATTACTATAAATAATTGTAATACCAAACAATAAATCATAAAATGAATTTTTGTAATTATTTGACTTATGCTATTATCATAATTATCGACATAGACATATATATATGTATCTTATTTTTAGAAATATAAAAGATCATTGCGAGATCATCGAATTTATTGTATACGTATATTAGATAGAATTTCCTCTTAGACATAGCCAACAGTAAACAATCCCTTCATCACACAAGATCATCTGCTCTTATGCGGTAACAACACCCTCGCGCGGGATCTAAAGTACATTATGCAATTCAAATATTATTCAAAGGCTAAAAGCCATGAGGGACAGATGAAGTAAGGAAGCGTGGGGGTTAGAAAATAAAACCAAGGAGGAGGAATAGGTGAAATATACTACTATGGTATTACGTTACAGGAAATACAGATTTCGATACACTCTACTCGTGCTTCATCTCATTTCTAATTATGATTAAATTAAATAACTATTACCGCAATTATATTCGATTTTCCTTTTTATCTCTACACACACGAAGATTAAAAAATTAAATTTTTCTTTAATAACGTCATATAAAAGATTAATAAAAAAAATAAAAAAATCATATATGAAAACACAGCTGTCTTTAATCGATATCGTTGTCTTATTTCACGATCTAACGCCGAGCAAAAGTACCTAAATAAATATTAGAATAACATCTGAACTCTGTGATATATTTTTCGAAGTAAGAACAAAATAATGTCTCTTGATATTTGATCGAAACATTCATCCTATCTTTTTTTTTTTTTAATACACTCTATTTTTGTGTATATTCTCTTTACGAAACGTATCAAAGAAAAAATATATATTATCGTAATATTGTGATAACTGTTTAATTACGTTAACATAATTATATTAAATAGCGCGTAATAAATGAATTAATGTAAAGATAAAAATCATGAGACGTTATCTAATAAGCATAACTAAATGGAATATCGTAATCTTCGAGATAAACTTATAATCTAAATAGAAACATTAATTTATATTCACTCGAGCATTATAAATATTTATATGAAGATTAATTACTATTCTAGTACATATTTACTTATCTTTTTTATTTTTTTCTATGGAAACCTATTTAAATATATTTAGAATTACGTATAAAGTAAACATTGACATAATTTGATATATTTTTCCGACAATAGAAAAATAATAATCATTGATTTATTTATATACGGTAGTTTATAATTTTCTTATTTTCTTACTTCCACAGAAAGCATAAATTAAAAAAGAAAACGTTGAAGCAAATAGGACAGGAATATTCTTTGATCATCGATACGAATCCATTGCTATGCAAAACGACCCTAAGTCGGAAATCATTTGTCTCGAGGATAAATGAGAAATTGGTAGAACGGAGAAGGGTACCTTGAGGGTGGAACTAAAAAGTAAAGGAAGAACCGATAGATGGTATAAAGAAAGGACTTTAACATTGCTGAGTCAACGAAGGCGTTGACACTGTTAATTATCTTTTCATAATCTACTGAAACAGCCCTTCAATCATCTTCTCTTTTCACTGTGATTATAACTATCGTCAAGATGCACTCGTATTAAGCATCACGCAACTACAAAAACAAACAGCAAACATTTTAATCAATGTGATTCTAACAAACTCTATAGTATCTTTCTCTATATCATCAAAATAAATCCCAAAATATTTGCACAATATTAACTTGAAACATTGTATATGCTTTAAGCAAATTTCCAAAAAAAAAAAACAAAATAAAAAAAGAATGTAAACTTCAATCAGTGACTCTATTGTTTCTTTACACAATAAAAATAAATATTCAAATATTTACAAAAAATTTGTGTGTATTGTGTGTGTGGATGTGTGTGTAAGACGCATAATTTACAAATTTAAAACATTGTATGCATCATGCAACTTTCAAGAAAATAAACAAAAAAATAATATAAATTTCAACCAATGACTATTGTTTTTCTACACGATAAAAATAATAATACCTGTATTATTTATATGTCTATAAAAAAATGTATAAATATAATAATTTACAAATAGCAAAACATGGAAACAATCTAAATATATATATATAAATATTGTATAACAATTTGTATCGTCTAGAAGAATGAATTATTTATAAACTAGCACATCGTTCTCGAAGTTAGTTCTCATGGCCATTAAGCTTACGGCTTCTCCAAACCGAATGATGAACTTGGACAAGTTCTATCAGACACGACGGAGAGATTGAATGAAATGTTTCCCATTTTCGCGACTCATTCGTCAATTTAGTACCTTAGCAAGACTACCGGACAGAACGTTACTGACTTTTTACGTATGGTTTTCTTCCAAAAAAAAAAAAAAGAAAAACTCACGATTCGCGTTACGATTTACGATACTACGCTGTCACATTTTTTGTCAACAAATTCGTTTAAATTTTTCTTTTCTTTCTCACGCTTGAATTTAAAAACAAAAAAGAAAACAAAATTATTACCTAGTTAAATATTCGCAGATAAATAAAAAAAAAATGTCTAACTATTGAAATGAAACTAATAAATTATTTTAATCGAACGCGCGCATTAAATGGATAAATAATTTTCGAAATGTCTGGAAAAAGTGTAAAAGAGTCAAGAGTAAAAACAAAAAAAAAAAGAACAAAAGAAAAGTTTATGGTAAATATACACATAATACGTACCTAGCCTCCGATATAAAAAGATGTGACTTTAAGGCGTTGGCTTGACAGTTTCGTCCACCCTCAGCCATTAAATAAATTGATCTCCACATACCAGCAGTCTAAATGACAACCTAATTTTCATAATGTGCAAACGAGAGTCTCCCCCTTCCTCTGTCCCTTTTTCTATCCTTCTTTCCTCGAGGTGTTTCATTTCTTCATTTTGTTTTTTCTTATTTTTTCCCCTATAGACAACTAAATTAAATTATATATTTATATAATAATAAATATTTATTATTTATATTTTATATTATATTTATATTTTTATATAATAATAAATATTTATTATTTATATTTTATTATTATATTTATATAATAATAAAATTAACAACTAAATTAAATTATATATTTATATATAATTATTTCATCTCGCGATAATTGTCGTTGTAAAATTATTTTCATGTTTTTCTTTATATAATTATTCGAATTCTTGTTCATTTATTTATTTATGTGGGATTGGGAAAAATTCGAAAATGAAAGTATGAATAAATATAAAGACGAGGAACGGTTAAGATATGGATGTTCGAGAACAATCGTTACTGAATATGTACGTTAATATTTGTAGAATAAATTAAAGACGTTTTTCTTATAAATAAGTTTAAATATAGATATTTCTAATATACGTAACGAAAGGACAATGCGATATAGATGATGTAGATTGAAGCTAAGCTGAGAAATTGTTAAGAGTGTTTTTGCAAAAAAAAAGTACGATTTATGTAAAGATAAGTTTTGCAAAGAAGTATGACGATAATTTAATAGTAAAGAAGTAAGGCTGATAAAAGAATACTCAGTTAAGAAGTAATAGAGACAATTAGTAAATTAATAGTTAAGAAACGAAACGATTATTAGTTATAGATCCAATAGATTATAAACACTTACTATTCCATACAATATTATATATCTTTAATTAAATATATATATATATATATATATTAATAGTCTTACATAAATATATTTTCTTTAATTTTTAAGAAAAGCTATATATTCATAAACATTATTAAATAATTATAAAATTTTTTAAAATCCTACATTTATTTAATTTATTTGTATAAAAAAATAACTACAAATAATCTAACGAAAATATATACAACCGCACATAATCTGTTAATAACAGCTGATGCAATTTGATCCAATCATAGGGCTCAACCCTATCGTCCGTTCACCTTCTTATACAGGTCATCCTCCCCAAAAACTACTTTCCGAGAACTGACCAGCTGTGTTGGACATGAGAGGGCTGTCACTTAAAGGATTTAACTTAATCTCAGACTACACATATTGCTTTCCAATAATATTTCACGCTCTTTTCTAATTGTAAGAAGATAAGCCCCGCTTTGTATTCAACGGTAGCTAATACAAAGTCATCCAAACAAATGACTTACACGATTCGAAAGAACTAATTAATACAATAATTGGTTAATACCAATTGATTGATTAATAACTTTTTTAATTATAAGAACGCGAGAGTATAAAATTAAAAAATAGTTCGATTTATTCCATGAAATGTTTTAAAATTTTTAACCAATAATTAAATTCTAATATACATCGATTAAAAATTATATTAGGTAATATTTATCAAATGTTAACTCAATGTGTTAATAATCAAATTTCAAGCTTATTTAACGATAAACGTTCTGTTTGCAGCCACAAAGACGGCTCACAATGCTGGTGATTTTATTGGTAACACGGTCGGTGGTACAAATTCGTCGGTTTATGGAAATTCAACGAGTGGTACCGTGAACTGTCTTACTGGAGGTCCATTAGCTGGTATAACAGGTGGCTTCAACAATACCGGTCGTACGAATTTCACTAACAAACAACTAACCGAATTGGAAAAGGAATTTCATTTTAACAAGTACTTGACACGCGCGAGACGCATCGAAATAGCCTCGGCCCTTCAACTAAACGAGACGCAAGTGAAAATCTGGTTTCAGAATAGACGAATGAAGCAGAAGAAGAGGATGAAGGAGGGTCTTATACCGGCTGATGGTGGAAACGTCAGTCAACTAACTGGTACGAGGAGTAGCAGCAATTCACCGACTAGCAATCACCAAGCAACAACCAATCAGGACAATATTGCTGGGCTTAGCTTATCAAGTTTCACAAGCGACAATAGTCGAGAATCACCGCCTATATCGATCAAAGATTAACTCGATCATTTGTGATCTTTCGTTTTAAAAAGAAACGATGATTGCTTAAATGAACACTCTTCAACTGGAGAACACCAAATAATTGATATATCTAGCCAATGAGACAAACAAACAAATACTATTTCGTTCACCAATTTTATTCCTAATGATCTTATTTAAACTATGACGTTTGTCACGGCTGGAATGTTTTCATTTTAAAATGTAACATGTTCTAGTTTTTTTATTTTTTCTTATAATTGATATTAAACTAGAGATACAACTCTCAGAGTTTGTTAGTTAGATAGCACAAGTGTGAACATTCGTCTTAATCCCAGGGAATACTTATGATTAATTGTTATGTAAATTATTACACATGATATACGAGCGAGCTCTTATTGCTTCGTGCTACAACGTTACCATTGTAAATTATCTTATTCAATGATCTTTAGTAAGGATATTTTTAATTGATATTTCGTGAGATTAAAACGAAAGAAAATAATACGCGTTTTAAAGTAACATTAATTTTAAATTAAATAATTCTACTACCGAGAAAAAATCAAATCAAACAGAAATGCAACAAAAATACAATTAACGAAATACAAATCGATTTATTCCTGTAATAATATTTAATTCAAATAATTCATATCTTGATTTGTGGACTAAAAAAAATTTGTTTTTTCTAATTCTTTGACTCGAACTGATATATGTACATTTGTAAATGATTTAAAATAAATACCATCATACCAAAATAACTAATACTATATAAAGATATACACAGACATACAACAAACACACACACACATATACAATACGTTGGTTTAACGTATATAACGAAAAACAAATTTGCACACAAGAGCATATATACGATATATAAATTAACTACATGAAATATCGTGAAACAATTAACAAAATACATAAATATAAATATATGATAAGCATATATATATATATATATATATACGTAATATGTAACATCAAAATGTATAGGATGACTCGTTAATTATAAACCCTAAATGAAAAAGGTTTCTTCATAATGAAGTGCCATATTTCCCGAAGTATTATGTCCTTAAAGGTAAAATAATGATTATTATTATTATTATAAGAAGATAAACTATATCTATATATGTTATTGTGACACCACGATAACGCGATTAATATAATCTAGAAATAAAAAATATTTGTGTATTTATATGTAAATAGAATTGTGCGTACGCGAGCGCGCGCAAGCTTGATGTATCAAAAAGGAAATGACGAAGAAAACATTAATCTATATCAATTGAAGAAAATTTTAAACACTCGCAAAGGAATACACAAAAAATAATAATAAACGAAAATCAACGATACGATATACATATACGAGAGTGGGATTGAAAAGTTTTGGAGTCTCGGATAGGAACAATTTGTTTTTCGGTCAAAATCACTTTTCTTTTCAAAACTTTTAATAAAGATTAGGTTCTCAAAACTTTTCAACTTCACTCTTTTGTATTATAAAAAATAACGTACTTATTTATCTTCGTTCTAATTATAAAAGCAAACGAATGCGTTATATCAGGGCTTCTGACATAACGACATGAATCGATCGAAAATTAATTCAAAAATAGTTTAGCAACGCTACAAGTATAGTATGTCTGTAAATTTATAATAGTGAAAGAGAAGATAGTATAAAACCTCTACTTAAGATGGCAAAAATATTTGCTTGGGTAAAGGGGAGTCGCCAAATGGAAAAGTTTAAGAAGCCCTGTGATATAAATCTGCGTTAAAATTTTCAAATACGCACATATTGTATTTGTAAAAACTGATGATTTTCTTTTTTATTTCTTTTATTATTCCAATATTTTGCGTTATAGTCATTAAATATTTATAAAAAGAAAGGATTAATTTGAAAAAATAAAAAAAGAACAATTATGGATAGATATATATCCATCGTATAGAAATAAATTTTCTCTTATTGTATTTATATGGCAACTCGTTACCATATTGTCGTGAATGATGACAAAGATAAAATAACATTTAAATTATAACAGAGACCGAAAAAAAGAAATTCGCATTCACTTGTTCTCGTATTAATATCTTATTGCGTCGCCGTATTTAACAAAAAAAAATTAAAAAGTCACGGAGTTAAAAAAAAATGTATTGTGATTAAAACGATAGAGCTCTGGTACCTAAAAGATTCCTACCGTTAATAATAATAAAATTGTGAGTAATCTGTAATGTCTCTTAGAGCTATGTAGAAAGAAATAAAGTATTATTGTATTAAATCGTAATGCAAGCATACACAAATCGTATTTATTAAATACATATAATATTTCTTTTTATTTTGAATCTCTATTCTTGAAACAAAAGGAAATCCCCTTCTTGGTTAAATCTATGTTAATTTTTTAATCAAATATTAATACTTATCTTTTTTTTAGCGAATTATATATATATATATATATATATATATGAGATCCCATATTTAAAAATACATTTAAAATATATACAATTTTTTTTTCTTAATCACAATCCTAGAATGTTAATAGCGTACAATGTGAAAATAATTAAACAGCATGTATCAATAGTTCTTGTAGAATTGCTCAAAGTTCATTGGTTACTGAGTTCTAACCTATCACTGCCGTCACTTTTTCATGGTTGTCTACCATTGGTTCTCACGATACGATACAGCGATACTAACGCCGTCTAACCAGCTCTGAAAATATAAATATAATTTTCTAACCTCTTTCATGAATATTGGTATCTATCTCTTATATGACTATATTATTGTGATTAATTTAGATCATTAAAAATTTATTATCGCAAATACACTAATTTGGAATTTGAAAAGAAATGAGTAAAACATATAATAGACTTAAGGAGTTGAGAAAATTTAGAACACAAGTTGATAAAGAAAGAAGTGTTCTCAAGAATGTATTATCTAAACTTGACCAACAAATAGATGCACTTCAGGTAAAAATTATACCGCAATAATAAAGAATAATAAAATTCATTTATAATAATGTAAACTAAAAATAAACTGTTTCATGAAGTAATTATTTTTCATTTAAATTTATCAATGTTGCAGGTTGAACAATTAAACTTAATAAGTCTTATAAATGCAAAAAATAATACTAAAGAAGTTCGCAAAGATACTAATGAAGAATCATCTTTGCAAACAAATAACCAAGTTACAAATCAAAAACTATTAGATTTATCAGTGCCTCTTTTAATGGATGTTAATGAAGAAGAAAGTGAAGACGATAATAATAGCAATGCATTTTATGAGTTGGCTGATATATTAGAAAATGAAATAAATAACTAATGAATATAATGATCTAACTTTGTAAAATATTTTTGTACGTACTTAGATTAAATAAAATTAAAATACAAAACTAAATTTGTACATAGTTATTTTTACATACATGGATAAATAACCTCTGAATTGTTTTATAATTTATGCTTTAATGATTATTTTTGGGCAACACAAATTGTCTTAATATGTACATACACAATTAGAAAGTATAAGAATAAAACTAATAGAAATAACTACTTCGATATATTTTGGACCATTTGCTAATCATTAATAACATAATAAAAAGTTACATTTTATACTTCCATGTACACATTGTAATAATCTTTTTGATTGTATGAAAGATATAATTGAAAGATTAATTGAAATAATTCTTAAACCTCAGATGATTATTCTATACAAATTCAGACTGGCAAAAGATAAACAACAAGAAAATATTTTTCTATTTCGATAATAACTAAACATTGATATTTTAATATCATGCTATGTTTTTATAAATCTAACATACTCCTTTCTATTATGAAGGATGTCCTTGTGGTATTGGACCAACATGCGAAGAATCATCTACCAACGATTGTGGTTTAAATTGATCTGCTTGCATCCGTGTGAAAAGTATTCCTACACTTTCAATCAAACCAAGTAAAACTCCTCCGATTAGAGCACTGCCAGCCATAGTAGGCAGTCCATTTCTAGCAGCTAAAATTCCACCCGTTGCTGCACCACTAATTATAGAATTCCATGGATCTTCCTTTTGTCTATAATGAACTAATGTGCAATCAATCATAGAAAATAATCCACCCCATACAGCAAAACTTCCTGCTAACATTGGAGCACGTTGTTTTACAGCCATAAAACTGCCTATTAAACGTTTGTTAAAACCACTGGGTGCATTACGAAAACCCTTTACACTTTGAAAAACAACTCCTCCAATTGCACCCATAGTAAATGCACCACCACAATCATCTATTATTCTCCAAGGACATGGCTCTCTCGCATATTCTTCCATTATTTAATAATCTAAAAAATACAAATAATGTTAATACCGCAATTTACAAATTTATGTATATATACATATACGCATATTTAGCCTTACAAATATACATACAATATAAATTTAAAATACACATAATTATAAAACTGTATATTATACTTTATGTTTATAGAATTTTGATTCATTATTTTATTATAAAAAACTACCAAACTATCATCGATCTGTGTTATACAACAAACATTTTATAATACTGCAATCATTAACACTAATTCATCTAACACAAATTTTATTAAAATAATTTATAATTAATTATATTAGTAACAATTATTTAACATGAAAATAATGAATATAAATCAACTTAAATTAAACTGTACTAACCTCTGAGAAATTAAATTTTATATTATTAAATTCATAACCTTCCAATACTAGATAAAACAAAATAAAAATTTTAAAAATGAATATTCGAGAACTTTTTGTTCTATATTTAGTATAATGATACATACACAATTTACTATATAGATCAAAATTATAAATATGTACACGTAAATCAATGTGCACCTAGTTAGCAAGAGGAACGTGAATTAAAAGTGAGGTTATGTACGTGACACTTCGCATTATTTCACATTAAATAATGTTTACAATCAATGATACGTGCAATATTTTTTATAAAAAAATATGTAATAATTTTTCTTAATGCTTACTGAATATTTTTCTCAATGTAATTCCTTCTTTATACACAATAATCTTTAATAATCACTAAAAAATAACTACTGTAACACTATTATGAAATTCACGTACACGGTGTCGTCATGAATAATATAACTAAATCATGAGCGGCAAATTAGACGCAAATTTTTTGCACCACAAAAAATAATTCTATCCAATAGAATAAAAGTAAACGAAATTTAATTTCTAAAATATTACATTTAAAAAACTGTTCTTTATATAATTATTTACGAACTAATACAATTTTTGCGAATTTTTTTTTTACAATTCTAATTTCAAACTATTACAACAAAATTTATTTAAAAATATGTTAGCCTTAGTGGATAAATCAAAAATAAAATTTACAATTTCAAAATTTAATATCTAAGATTCTAAACAAGAAGAAATGAATTTATTAAAATTTATTTATTTTAAATATTCGTGTTCTCTCTCTCGCTCTTTCTTACTTTATCGAACCAAAATGCGAAATACGCATGGTCAATCACTCTTTTAAGTTTAAAATAGAAATAGCGGGCAATATCCAAAAATACACCTTATTTCTAGCTAGTCCTTGATATCCAGTACTTTGGAATGACAATTGAGTATGTATTATAGTAAAAATTCATTTTAACATGTTTTTTAATATTATTTTCTTATATATTATTTGTACAATATTTACACCAATCGATCTTTTTATTATATCTATACGTTTTTGTATATAATATGATATCAAGTTACATATTCACACACACACGTATACTTATTTAAAATATTATAATAATCCTATTCGTATCTCTGCATCTCGAAATAAATAATAAAATTACTATACTTCAAGGAAAAGTTATTTATTAAAATATATATACTTCTATATAATTTATATTCACATATGATTTGCAATAATTCTATACCAAAAAAAATATTCTTCTTTTTAGTTGTTTCCATAGTGATTCTAAAACTCTCTTGTACACTAAAGTTTCTAATTTTCAATAAAGAGAATAGAAATAATTGTTTTACAGAATATGTCTGAAATTCAAGAATGTTCTTCAGTTGGAAGTGTATCCGTAGATAATACAATAAACAATAATGAAAAAGATCAATCAAAGATAATTTCTTCTTTACAAGACGCAAAAAATGAAATTTTACATACCGTTGACAAGGATGCTGTCAAAGTACAAGAGGATATACCAAAACTGGTAAAAAGAGTATAATAATAAAAAATCATTATGAAACTATCTTGATTCTAAAAAATATTTAAATTTACATATTCATTATATCTAGAATGAAAATTTAAACATAGAGAATGAAAATACAATATCTAATGCTTCAAATATTACTAAAAATGATCTCATATTAAAGTCGATGTCAGATACGGTTACTGTTAAGGATGAATTCAACAAGGTAAAAAAATTACACTAGTACTATTAATTAGTTGTTATTATATAATTGTTATTTTATAATTATTATATACACAGGTAAGCAAAAGTGAGAATGCGTTGATATGCAAGTTAGAAGAAGAAGTAAAGGTAATTTACCAGAATTTTACAAAAACCATATTAATGTATATCTATCAGAAATGTGATAAAATTATAAAATTGATTTAATAATAAATATACCCTAATGTACTTTTATTTTTAGGAAAGAATCATAGAACGAGATATGTATCACAGAAAGTTAGTAGAAGTCGAACAAAAATTGACTGATCTGGAAGCATTCGTTGCTAACACTATTAAGAGTGTTGATAACAATAAAGAAAGTGTTGCGCATGTAACACTGACTGAATTAAAAAATAAATTAACAGAGACAATAATGCAATTAGAAGATCGTGGAGTTATTATGGCTAATCAAGAAAAACAAATCAATGCTCTTAACATACAAGTATCAACGTTGAAGGAAGTAGTAGCTATTACAAGAGATCTTTTACAAATTCGTAATAAGGAAGTTAAACATTTACAGGTATATTTTATATTTAATTGTTATATGAATTAAAATAAGAACGTTTGATTTTAATTAATTGTATTTTATAGGCAGAGGTTGATAATATGGAAGCACGAATTGCAGAAGAACGTGAAAAGCATAATACGATGATGTCTAGAATGGATGATGCAGTACGATTAAATTCTGATTTAAAGAAAGAATATGAGACACAATTAAATCTTTTTAAAGATTTACGTATTAAATATGACGAAAAAATAACTTTACTTTCGGAAGAAAAACGAGCCCTTGAATTATCAAATCAACCTGCAGCCAATTAAATAGGAAGAACTAAAACCAGAAGAAATTAAAGCTCATACAGAAAAATTTCTAATGATCAATTTAATGAAATGTCATTTATGTATATTATTTGATTTCTAAATCTAATAGCTACGTGTACAGTTATAGATGCAAAATTACGAATAAGAATTAAAAATGCATGATAATGGTTTATACACATTAGTGGAACATTATTTGTATTGTTATAAAACTAAATATTGTTTAAGTAAAAAATGATGTAACATTGACATATATTGCAAATTATATTTTTCTCTTAATTATAGATAAGATTTGGTATTTACAAAATACTACGTGAACAGATAATGATTTTATAAGAAATCTATTTTAATTGATAATTCACATATCTTAATCAGAGATAATTGATAATTTTTAGAGATAGGATGAAAATAAAAATTGCTAATTTCTTCACTTAATTATTATACATAAATATACATATATATATAAATTTTTAAAAAATTATTTATTAGACGCAATACATATTTATTTTAATTATTGTATCAATTGACAACAATTTGAACATATAAAAAATTGTTAAATGGCTTGATTTAATAAGATTTGTTTACCTGTTATAAAAACACATTTGATAAAATTAAGCAATTTATTTTAATATTTTTTTTGATGATCGTAATAACATCTGCAACTGGAAGTTAATTGTCATAAAAAACATTTCGCGGAAAAAATAAAAAATGGACTTAGGTTACTATCAAAATAAAGGGCTCAATTATATTAAAAAATAATAATAAAAAAGATAAATATTTGTTTCCAAAAACAATCGAATATTTTTATATTATACAAATCAAAATTAATTAATTATTTAATTACGGACCACCTGAGACTTATTTAATCTTTCTGATAGATTAATATAATAAAAGTCATTATATCGGAGCAAAGATAATATCAAAATATAAAAATAGATGGATAAAATAAAGATAATTGCTTGAATTAAAATGGTATATATACAGAAGAAATTAGGGATTTTACATCAGAATCATCGAAAAGAAGTTCAGGTAAGAATAAATTATACATACCTGCAAAATAGCTATAATCTTTTGCTGCCATTTTTACTGTTAATCAAATTATATTTATAATATAAATTAATTTGTATATAACGCT